TTAATGACCAAGGTAATAATGATTTCAGTCTCTTAGTTAGACATTTTGCAAGAATCTTATAGGCTAGTCAATAAGTAATACGTCTAAAATCTTGTAGCTTTTCAATCATGCCTTTCTTTGGAACAAGGCAATAATCATAGAATTTAGACTAATATTGACAAAACCATTATGATAGAATTCCACAATCATCTTTATAACCTCATCCTTTACCAAATCGCAAGAATGCTAAAAGAAACCCACTGGAAATCCATCTGGGATTGGTGCCCTATCCCCTACCAAACTAAAAACAACTTTAATTTCAATTTAAAAAAAAGGGTCTCTCAATCCACTTACTTTTATCATTCGGCAATTTGTGACAAGGAATATTACAAAGGTTTGTAATAATTGTATACCCAGCAGTAAAGGTCCCTTTGAAATGCTCAATAATATCTTTTTCCAAACTATTTTCATCACCTTCTATTACCCCTTCTATTTAAGGACTTGCAAACTATTAACACGTTTCCTTGCATTTGCCGCTGCATGGAAAAAATCATGTATTCAAATAACCTTCTTTCAACCACCTAACTCTTGACCTTTGTCTCTAATAAATTTCTTCTGCTTTCATAACATCACACAACTATCTATTCAAATCATTTCACAAAGTAATGTCATCCAACTCAATAGTTTCTGATTCCCATCTTTTAAATGTAGCTCCCTAATTTTGGACATGGTCTCTTCAGTATTCATTTTGTAGTTAATAACATTCCATTTCCTCTAATCCACCAACTCCTTTTTTACTCCCTAAATCATTTTTGTGGCAACAAAACCAGGCCATCCCTGAACATCATTCCTCTTCCAAACTTTAGAAATTAGGTCATTCATTGATTTGTCTTTCGTCCATGCCATATCAAATTTAAAATGCACCTCACCTATTCTTTTATATTTAACTTTCCCAAAGTAAAGGAGCATGAACAGAAGAGAATTTAGGCAATGGTCTAACAGATCCCATTGGAAATAACTCAGCACACACTGGACATACAAGGAATTTATCTAATCTAGTCATAATAGGATTTGTAGCACACCCAGTTGACCAAGTAAATCTAGCACCATTTAAAAGTAAATCAAGAAAATAAAATTTTGAAATAAAACCCAAAAAAACTCTCATACAAGAAGTAAAATGGTTATTAACACTCGATTCAGTAGGCCATCTGATAATATTGAAGTCCTCGCCAATTAAGCAAGGTAATTTAAACATATTCCATACATAGCCAAGTTCATGCCACATATGAGATATGAAAGAGAGTTTGGATTGTATACATTAGAGACCCAAAAACTAACACCAATAGGAATAAACAAGAAGACACGAGATAGAGACGAAGCATTAACAGAAGACCATTCACAACAAAACACAGAGAGATCCCAAACTGCTCATAAACTCCCTGATAAACCCATAGCATCCTTACAACAAAACATAACAGGCCTACAATCCCAAATAGATTTAACTTCCGTCAAACTAGGACTAGAGATCTTAGTTTCTTGAAGCAAAATCAAATCAAGGCTATCTTTTTTAACCATTGAAAGAAGCTCTAATTTTATTTTCCTGCTACTAAGACTTCCTAACATTCCAACTTAAGATTCTAATCATATGGGGGTTCTTAAATCCTAACAACATCTTTATGGAAAGTTATACCCTCAAGATGTTTTAGGTCTAATTTGCTTCCTTGAAATCACCTATTCTAGTAAGGATAGGCCTTTACAAAACTTACATGATACTCCCAAGGCCACACAGATGACACGAGGCTACAATTGCATGGTATGTTGCATGGCCACGGCGCATAATTGTTGGAGTTGCGCATCAAAAACAAAAAAAAGCCATGTGTGGTCCTCACATGCACGTTATGCCACAGTTGAACTTACACATGTCAAATCACACGTATGATCTACACATGTCATGGAAAATGTGAACATGTCTTCCACACATGTGGCCGATAAACCTTTTGTTTTATTTTTTGTATTTTTTTAAAGGACACAGTTTTTATGCGGCCATGCTTGTATATGTAGAAATTCAGGCCCCTTAAATCTATTTTTGAGATAGATTTTAAATCCATTGTTTTTAGATAGAACACCTATTTTCATCTATCTTCGTAATGGATGCTTTACACCTTCTGGACCGCATGTGTAGAAATGCGATGCAGCCTACATGGATGCAGCGCATGTGTAGAAATGCGATGCAGCCCACATGGATGCAGCCCACATGAAACAATTTTCTTTTTTTAAATGCACATTGCAAAATGTGGTAGGACCACCTCCTGGAAGTGCTCCCCGAGACTACAGTATAGCTTTGGTCTTCTGAGAGCATCTGGGCACTATGGTCAAGAAAGATCACCTACGTGCAGTAGTCGTTTGGGACCACCTACTTGTGGTAATAAACACATTTAGCGTTTGAACGCGTAGGGTGTTGGACGACTAGCAAGTTCACCTCCAATGCACCGTGTGGACTACCATGACGGACCACGTAGTCTAAGATACATCCCGCGCAAAGTTCATTTTGCGTGTGCTCAGCATGCATATGTATGGCCCAACTCTGCAAGGACCATACAGTGCCTCAGGGGCTAGTTTTGCCAAAGCGCTAAGAAAAAAAGAATAAAGATAAGAGCCAAAAGACTTCAAAAAAGAAGGCTTTTCTCTATTTGTATACCAGTCACACGTACTATCAAATCAGGGAGGCGAACCTCTAAAAAAAATCCCTAAGGGCGAAATGCTATACTGATTTCGCTTTTTGGCCGATAACCATTCGAAAAAATTAATCGGTGTGTATTTTTTGACCGCCGTGGATCTAATCGTCATGGACATGTTAGGTCCGTGGCGGTCCAAAAATTCACGAGGAACCACAATGGTCGGTGTCATTCATTGTGGTCATGGACATACTAGTTCGGTGGCTGTCCAAAACTTTGCGCGGAACCACAATGGATGGCGTCGTTCATTGCGGGTCCATTCAATAAACCACCACATACATAACAAGTCTGTGATGGAAGCGAAACGCTATATCATTTCGCCTATAAACGTTTTTTAGGTTTTCCCACACATATATATATATATATATATATATTCCGAGCCTTTGATGCAAGGTACAAAAGTTTTCAAATCACCAATTGGTATTTTTCTTTTTCTAGTGTTTATAAAGAGAGAAGACGACACATAGAAGCTTTTGGTGTAAATAGAGAATCTCCCTTTCAGATGTACGTAACCCATTTAGAGAAAAACATTTTCTCTCTCTTTGATTCCTTTTTATAAAAACACCCCACAAAAAAATCGTTTTCGAAAGAATGGTTATTTCTCCCTCTAAAGATAAATCCATATTATATAGAATTCCCTTTCTTTTCTTTCTTGGATAAATCCAACAATGCCATATACATTTTTTTCTCTATTAAACTGCTAAGAGCATCAAGAACTCCTAGGAGATCCTTTACCCACAAGGAGTGGAATCCAAATCCATGAGGCACAAAAAATAGATGTAGCCGTGCAACATTAAAGTCATGGTCTCCTAATGTACTCTATGAATTGCCCACTAACCCACTAACGTGTACCGTAACAAGGGATTCGATGAATTTTCTATGGCTCTAAATCCATGATTTTCATGAATATGTATAGGGAATGTTTTGGAAATTTTTTGCAGTCACACGAAAAATCTGGTTTATAGGACGACTAATTTTTCGTGAGCCAGCGGAATAACCTCTCATTTTCCATGGTAAAATCATGCAAAAACTCCATATATTTCACACACTATGTGCGATTCCTCGTTAGATTGCATCATGATTTCTAGCCTTTGGTTGATAACTTTGAGGCAACGGGCCGGGCCTCGGATGGGCTGGCCCTAGCCCATACCTGGTCCCTATAGGGCTGGCCCAAGCCTGACCTAGTCAACGAGCCTGGCCTAGGATAGGCTTGCCCTAGCCTATTTCTAGTCCCTATAGGGCCGGCCTATGCCCAGCCTGGGCAACGGGACTGGCCTGGGCCGGGCTGGCTCTGGCCTGTTCCTGGTTCCTATAAGGCTGGCCGAAGCCCAACCAAGACCTAACTAGGCCAAAAAGGCCCTCGGGAACGGCTCTAGTTCTAGGAGCATGAGCGTCGGATCAATGTCTGCCCAAAGCTCTAGAGCTCAGGGAGCGAGTTTCGGTGAGGGTAAATGTAGTAGATCGAGATCCCGTATGTATAGGGAGCGTGTTCCCAATACATCGAGATGGAGATCCCTATTTAACGGGAACGTGTTCCATGTCAAATAGGATCGTGTACTCATATTTATTAGGATCATGCTCCCATCGACAACAGGATCGCATCCCCATCTAAGAATGACTGTGTTCCTTGTTCGAAAGGATTGAGCTCCATTCAAGGAAGGATCGCGTTATGTACATGATTTGTCTGCGCTCCTATAGCAAAACTCCACTTTTATGAAAATTTTGCTTAAAACATAATTATTTTATTTTAAAAAATAATTTTATTTTAAAAGTTTCTTTTCGGAAGTTCTAGGCACATATGGATGGAGTTCCGGAAATTTAGGGATCGCGCTCCTAAAATTCTTGGAGCGGGAATCTAATTTATTCAGGAACGATATCCTAAAATTGAAGGAATGCGTTCCATGCAGTATCGGGAGCAAGCTCCCCTATAAATGGAATCGAGAATCTTAAAAATAGGAGCGAGCTCCCAAAAAATAGGGAATGAGTTCCGGTCGAGATCCCTGCTACGGAGCGCCAGAGCTAGGTTTTGGAGTGGGAGCGCCACCCTAGTTAGGCACTCCCAATAACTATGGACCGGGCCAGCCTATGGTGGCCCTGGTCATGGCCTGGCCCTCATGCAACATTTTGTGGGCCTAGTCTTTTTAGGTCTGGGCTGGACCGGGCCACAGTCCAATGCCAACCCTAATTCTTAACTTTCTTAAAGCTCGTGAATTCCGCTTTCTTTTAAAATCCATTCTCTATGCTTTACAAGTCAACAAAGACATACACAGAGATATAGCTTTAAACCTCAATAATGTGAACTCCCGTGGATTGAAAGTCATGGATGACTTGAATCTTGGAAGAAGAATCGGGGGCCCCTGTAGAAGGTCGACTGTAGACATAGGTCGGATGTCCGATTGAAATACTGGCCTGTACCATGAATTTACCAAGATAACCAGTTCCCCCAATTATCTATATCTTGCTTTTCCAACTCATTGTTCACTTGTTTCTCCTCCTCTCTCCCACTCTTAGAAAATGGTATGACAGGAGTGCATGGGACACAGAGAGCTCATGTCATATATAGGTGCTCCACTAATTTAGTGGGAGAGGGTCCACCCTCAGGGAACACCGTTACGGTTTAGCAAAATGTCACTGAGATTCCTTTGATTGCCCTATTACAGACAGCTTTGCTGCCATTGAAAACCAGGACAATTATTCACAGGCCCACGCATGCAAAATAACGTCATTGTCGATTCGTCAGATGGTCCCCCGAGCATAAATGAAATTGTGGTGTTACATGGATACTAGTACGCATGTCAATATCCATATTTAGTATGCATCAGGTTGTCTAATACGCAAAGCTACAATATCAGTATTGTAAGTCACACTTCTATATATAATAGGAAAAAGTTTATATAGAGCTGAGGTTTTAAACAATCAAATTTGAGCCCCTCAAAAATTTCATTAGAAGAGGTTGTTTTGATGCTCAAATATCCTTAAATTGATCATTTCGATATAGATGCATGGACATGAGAAAAAAATCGATTTCGAATTTTAGAAATAGTGCATCTTGTAACGCATTTTTGGACCGTTTCAAGTTTTTATAGATACACTTGATCTACACAATTTTTTAAGCTTTAAATTTTATAATTAAATATGAAAATATATTTTAAGGCTATCACAAAGATTTTCAATATTGAAAGAACATTTCTCGACACTATTTGAAAGTGTATTTTACTTTGATTGTTTAGAGCCTCAGCTCTATATAAACAGCACCCGTTTAAGTTCCTATAGCTTGGAATATAAATTATAATATAGTGTTGTGGTGGAATGGGTGCGGTTTGTATACAGCCTAGGCTCTGAACCATCAAATTAGAGCCTACCTTCAAATAGTGTTGAGAAATATGGTTTCACTACTGAAAATCTTTATGATAGCCTTAAAATATATTTTCATCTTTATTTATAAAGTTTAAAGCTTTGAAAATAGTGTAGATCGATAGATTTATGAAAACTTGAAAATCTTGAAAATTGACGGTCCAAAAATGCATTACAAAATACCCTATTTCCAAAACTTGAAATCTATTTTTTTTTTCATGTCTATGCATTTTGATGTCGAGATGATCAATTTGAATATATTTGGGCACGAAAACAACCTGTTCTAATGAAATTTTTTAGGTAGGCTCAAATTTGATTGTTTAGAGCCTCGGCTGTATATAAACTTTCTCCGTGGTGGAATACGCCGATCTATTAAGCAAGAGTTGCACGTCCAAATTTACTACTCGTTGATATATTTAACCATGACAACCCAAAATGGCAGCTTGCTAGACCTTGGCCTTCATGTGCAGGAAGGTCTTAGGTTTCAGGTCAGGGCTAGGCCCACATACATCGACTCTTTCCATTGGAATACCTAGGATTTTTTTCAATTTAAAATTTTGGGAGTCATTTAAGATCTATTAGGTTATTATTTTCTAAAGAAAAAAAATTGAATTTTGAGATTTCCAGTAACTTTATTTTACTCTCTAAAAATTGGACGATTTGTAGTCAATTTTAAGATTACTTTTTCTAAGGGCATATTGAATGCAATTAAAAATAAATAGAAATTATTAGGATTAGCCTATGGCTTGAAGATATTGTATTCTTTAAATTTGGGACCCTAAAGTTAATCTTAGATTGAGTTTCAAATAAGGGAGTAAATAGAAACATATTCCTATAAGAATATAAAATCTCTTTTTGCTACTAAAATAGGTGGTCTATTCCGACGAAAATAAAAATAAAAAATAAAAAAGATAAAGAAAGAATAGAAAAGCCAAAGGAATTAAGCCCAATGAGTGAATTTTTTATTTGGTAATTCAATGGGTATGACAGGCCTTATCAGTTTTTTCAAATAATTTAGAGTTAACTTTTTTGAAAGTATCATGAGGTGGTGTCAATCGGAATAAAAATCACAATATGGTGGACCCAGCCCCTTTTTCAATGAGTGATAGTTGATTAACTCGTGGACAAGATATCTAACAAGAATGGTCCTTTGAAAGATATCAAAAGGACTATTTGTAGGACTCCCTACCTTATCTAATATTGGAATTGTGCTTATCATTCTTTCGTACCTCCATCATTTCAATTCACATTTTCACTGTAATGTATGTGTCATATTGAGGGACATTGGAGCTACGTATGACACAAAAACAAGCAACAACAAATATGAAATAATGAATATCTCAAGACAAACATGTGGCTTTGAATCACTTAATCACCATTATCATTTTAGCCTTTTTCCAATTAGTTGGAGTCTGCTGCATGAATTCTAGTTCTCTATTTTGATCTATTAAAGGCCATATCCTCAAGGAGATCATAAGTCCACATATCTTTTCGGACTATTTCCAACCACGTCCTTTTGGGTATACCCCATGTTCTTTTCAATCATTTCACTTGAATTAACTCGCACCTCTTAATAGGTGTTGTACTTGGTAGGCGCCACACATGGCCATTCCAACTAAATCTACTCTCTCTCATTTTATTCCATATTGGTATCATACCTAAATTCCTAAATTCTCTCGAATATATTCATTTCAAACTCTATCCCTTCTTGTCTTGCCACTCATCCATCTCAATATCATCATCTCCGCTACATTAATTCAATGGGTATATTATTTTTTCTCCGCCCAACATTCTGCCCCATCGAGCAAAGCTGGTCTCACCGCTATCATATAAAATGTACCCTTCAACCTCATTGGTATGCGGCGATCACATAAAATTCCAGTTGCACATCTCCACCTCACCCAGCCAGCTCTAATTATGTGTCCGGCATCGTCTTCAGTCTCTCCATTTTCCTGGATTATTGACTCAAGATATCGAAAGTACAGTCTTTTTTGTACTTCATAATCATCAATCTTAACTACTTCTTCGTCTCTACTCCTATTATTACTAAACTTGCACTCCATATATTCTGTCTTAATCTGACTAATTTTAAAATCTTTAGATTCTAGAGCATCCCTCCACGTCATTTTGGGTCTCATCAATCAAAACTGTCATCTGCGAACAACATGCATCATTGCACCTCATCCAGTAGGTGCCTAGTTAAGTCGTCCATAACTAAAACAAAGAGGTATGGGCTCAATGCTGACCCTTGATGTAGACCTATTGTAACTGAAAAGTCGCTCGTTTCTCCACTAGTTGTTCGTACACTAGTTAGCACACTGTCATACATATCTTTCAACAAGTCGATGTGGTGTATAGATACGTCTTTCTTTTTCAATACCCACCAAATCAAATCACTCAATATGACAAAGAAATTACAATGTGGCCAATGAAGCTATGAACTACAAGCGTCCAAGCAATTTCAAGTGTAATTTTGATGCAAATAAGCACAAATTAATTTTATTAACCATATGAGCACATTTTACCAATCAAACCACATGGTTATTACAATGAAAAATGTTAGTTCCTTAAGTGTAATATTAATAACGTAAATAATAGTACTCACCAAAATAAAAGTTTGAAAGCCCACATACGTGTCATGCAAATAAACCCAATATACCAAAATATACAGCATAACAAAAGCCTATATCTATCAACCCTAGATCTTGAAGCAAAGGCAAAAACCTTTTGAGAAAGCAAATCCATAGAAATTGAACCATCCATCAACACTGCTTCCATAAAGCCTAGCAATGTGTTGGGTGTAGAGGATAAAAAACAAGGTTTGGAAAAAATAAGTGAAAAAAATAATGCAGAAAATAAAAGAAGAGAGACATAAAGACTTACGTGGTTCGGCAAGTTGCTTACGTCCATGGGGCAATAAAGTTCTCTTCCACTAATCAGAAAAATACCATGCAAGAATGGAGAATACAAGGAATTACAAGTTCTCTTTCTCTCAAGCCCTAAAACACAGTCTTTCTCTCTCTAGAACACCCACCCAAAGACTAAAGAAAAACTAATCTTTATCTCTCTGTTTTTGCATCTCACTTTTTCTATTTGTTTTTTCTCTCTCTATGGGACAACTTATATTAAGAGGCCAAAAGACTCACGTGAATCATCTTTACCCCATTCCTAATTAGTAAAAGTGTCCCATTACTCTTTCTATTTCTACATGGAATCAAATCTCATAAAAATAGGATCTCGTATACTGTGTTGATAGGATACTACAAAATAGAAAATAAGATATGACCCATGGGAATCACGTAGATCCCAAATTAATAGGGATCAATCTCCCTTAAACATGGCTTCACCATTTATATCTGACATTTTCCCACTTGAAGATATGTTTCCATTTGGAGTAGTATGCTTCAAGAAATTGCTGCCCACCGGTTATTAATTCATATTGTAGAAAATTCATATTGATGACCATCTAGAAAAAATTCAATATGAATTTTCTACAATAAAATTTTTTCATATTCTACCACATCGAGAATAAAGTGATATTGAACATCAATATGTTTAGTCCTATCATGGAAAGCTAGATTCCTTGTTAGAAACAAAGAACTCTGATTATCACAACGAAGTGGTATACTTTCTTGCACAACTCGGTATTCACCAAGTAACCCATTTAGCCAAATTACTTCTTTAGATCCATGAATAAGTGACATATACTCAACCTCTGTAGAAGAGAACACCATCATAGACTGCAACCTTCATAATCAACTGCACCACCTCCCAAAGAAAAAACATACCCGGTAGAAGACCATCTTTTATCCAAGTCAGCTACAAAATCTGCATCAACATAATTAGTGACTTTCAAATCCATTCCACTGTAACAAATACTAATATTGCAAGTTCTCTTAAGATATCAAAGGATCCACTTTACAATGATCCAATAATCATTACCAAGATTTATCGTATATCTACTCACAACTCCCACTGCTTGTGTTATGTTAGGTCTGGTGCTGACCATAGCAAACATGAGACTCCCTACTACTAATGAATACGGTACTTGAGACATCTGTGTCTTCTCTAATTCGATGCTATGACATTGTTTCAAATATAACTTTATATGCACAGGCAAT